AGACAGAGAGACAAACAAAGCCTTTTTTTCCTATGCACTTCACGATAAAGCGCTGGCCCGCTGTTCGCGAAGGTGGCCACCCCCGGTCAAGCCACAAACGAAGATCATTAGCTGTCATCCGCGCATCCCAGCAAATGAGGAACAGATAGCCGGATGTGCATAGTATTGACACCACTGCAGTACTCGTGCACCCTGACACCCCAGTGGTGCAGTGATGTTGGGCATAGCTCACCCGGTTAAGAGCCTCCTCCAGTTTTGAGTTTGACGGTGGTCAACCCACGGGCTGAGTTCGGGAATGCTCTGCACGCCACATGATATCTAGATCAGCTCAACGAGGCCTCGACGACACAGAGAGGAACACACCAGTGACCGGTCTTGTAAAAAGAAAGGGAAGTGTATCTGCAGACGTTGGAGAAGCGATCCAACGGCTTTCTCGCCCGCAGCTTACAGCTCCTGTCTAGAAATGCACTTACTGCAGTGCAGTACATGCATAGTAGAGGTATGTTGCTGCAGGGTTGGCAAATATCTAGAGCTGTTGGGTGCTGGGTTGGATCCGGCCCAATCCTCAGATTCCGGTCCCGCGCCCTTCCGGACTACACTCCGGTCTCCGTCCAGAATTGGGTGATCTAGGCACCCGAGCCGGTCGAGGTCGCCGATCATGCTCCTCTTTGGGGAAACCCATGTGGTTGGTATGGCAGGCAAGGGCACGAAAAGATTAACTCATCTTGGCTTTTTGTCTCGATGGCTCGGCGCTTCGGAGCTCGTAGGGCTTTTGGTCGCTCCCGTTGAAGCAAAGATCGCCGTGGGCGAGATGCTGGGTGGCATGCATGATGCGATTTCAGGCCAAGGTAGAGGGGATCGAAGCCCAAGCTGTGTTCTCTGAGGAGATACCGGATGCATCGATATCGGTTGAGAGTCCCGGTGTTGTTGACTTCATGGACGTGAGGTTGCGAGGAAGGCACATCTCGTTGTAATGAGGAATTGCAGTGCGCTTGCTTGATAATGGGAACTGACTGCAGGAAAGCAAAAGAAACCGACATCCATCAAAAGCCCTCCGTTCTGGGTTTAAAAGAAGATGTATTCCCCAAAATGAGTGCAGTGAAAGAAGATGTTGTCCAGCACTGAGACCTCCACGCCAAGTCTGTCGCAACCACAACCGAACCAATACATGTCCATCCCAACAGAGCATTAGCGAGAATTTAAAGGTCAAGTACGAGCGGGAGAATCCAGATTAAGGACGGGAGAGAGGAAAGGGACATAGCTGAACAAGCCCGGTAGGGCAGAACCCGACTTACCTCGACACTAGCTACCTACCTACTAGGAACTGCCAGTGTGCCATTATAGTACAATACGGTCTGTAGGGTTCATCAAATTTGCGAGTCTCGATGGCCGGCAATCATTCATATCCATTGGAAGAAGAACTGCATAGCATTCAGCACTATCAGCGCCTCAATCGGCCCAAAAGGACCTGGATCAATACAAGCCAAGGGTTCGATAGTTGCTGCACCCGCCATTTGTCTTCCTTGCAGATAGTGCAGGCCACACAGGCACTGCACGTTGGATGGAATGGCTTGGCTACCTGTGAATACAACAATACCTGTTAGTTCTACATCCAATACCGTAACGAGATACAATCTAGGTGGCAGTTATTGAACCTACCTTGTGGTCAGCTATGCTTTTCGTCAACCAGGCTCTATAGGCCCCGAACGAGCACTATTCAGAGATTGTTTAATCCGACCTAGCAAGTCAGCGTAGTAGAACTACCAACAGCACGTGGCATGTGAGCACAGAGAAAGACTCACAGAGGCATTGTCTCCCTCGGTCTTAGCCAGCCATGCCATTCAAGTCTTGCCTGATCTGATGTAATATCAGCCTCCGCAGTAAATCCGTCCAAACATTCACGTCCCCGCCTCCGCCTTACCGTGCCTTTTTCTGTCTTACGGCGAGATATTTCCGACCGGTCAACTGGGGCAGTACAGCAGTACTGTACTGCTGTCAAGCCTACCTAGGTATCATAGGACGACTGACGCGGAGAGACTTGGTTACCTGTATACAGAACAGTCAGCAATGCGACAGGAGTCCTACATCGACAGCAATTCGGAACCAACCGGGTTGCGTTGCTGTGTTGCTGGCTGGCGCTGATGCTGCTGCTGCTGTATGTAATGGTCAGCCCCCTGTCATCCGCCACCCCCCTCGTTCTAACGTATAAGGAGCCGCGTTACACAGGCGACCAACCTGGTCTGGTAGTGTACAACAGCAGTACAACCAGGAAAGGGAAAAAAAAGAAAAGAGAGCGGAAATTCGGCGCCGACGTCGGTCCGTGTCTGAAAAAGAAAGGATTATTCCGAGCTTGGCTTATACGAAGACTTAAACCCCAGGAGAAAAAAACAAAAACAAAAGTCAGCTGCCAAGTGCCAAACGCCAATGCCGAGCCAACCTGCCAATCCGATTCTCCCGCCCTTCCGTCGTCATGGAAGCAAGATGCTGGTGTGGAAGGATACTCCTCGAAACTGGACTGGAGGGCGCAGCGTTATGTTGCTTGTTTTGCCTTTGCTTTTCCTTAAAGGGTTTGTGCAACAGGTTGATAACTATCAACTTACATCGTCCATGGAAAAAGCATTTGCTATTGCCATGATTCCCCTGCCAAGGACGGAGGGGCACAGAAAACATGGTCCCTCCGGGTTTTGACCTCCAGCTTTCCACGCCGCTTTTCGTTGTGCTCTTGTCAGTAACCATACTTGTCGGTAACCCCAAGGCGCAAAGCGCTTAGTCTACGCCATACGGAAGTGTAGGGTACGAGTCGAGAAATCAACATACCAGGTCCAACTCTGCAAGTTGCAGACACTGTCCTTCACCCAGATCAGATGCGCAAATGGCAGACAGACAGACAGACAGACAACCCAACCTACCTCTAACAAATATGTAAGGTATGCAACGCCATGCTTACATGTACACCGAACCCCTGGGTCCTCTCGTCGTCATTGTCAGTGGTCACTGGTCTCTTCCTCGGATCAGAATTGGTAATGACAACCATCTCTGGTCCGGAAGGCCTGACATTTCCCGCCCCTTGCCAATTCCAACAACCGTCAACACACGCTGCCTAAGTGGAAGAGTCGTCCCCGAACATCAGAACATATCATGATACCATTCCGGGACTCCTCAGCCACACTAGGTCAAGTCAATAGTTCTCGTGCGGCGTGATCTATCTTTTCTTTTCACACACACACACACGTGGATGATTGATACATCCCGATTCTCTTGTTCCCTTCGGCTTGAGGCGATGGTACCTATCACCGAGGGTTGCCAACAGCAGTAAAACTGTTAGTCAGTCAATACCACAAACAGAAACCATCAGAAGGACATCCACTCACCACCAACTTGACACCAACCACAACTCCCATGCCTTCTTCTTCTCGTCAACAGCGGTACTCGCTTCTGATCGGTCTCCATTTCGGTCGGGCGACGACCCCTTCGCTGCCTTCCGTTATTTCAATACACATGACCATTGAAAGTAAAAAGTCGGCTGTGGCGTCTCGCCCTACACACATCTTACCTCTACTTACCTGTACCTATTCTTCGAGTTACTGTCAGCCACGAGATCTCAGCTCACCCAGTCCACCTCATCTTCACGCGCGACTGAGCGTGCGAAGCGAAACGGGCCGGACTTCTTCACCCACCACCATGAACCGAGCTGTCTGCTAGCTAGGTACTGGAGATTTGTTTGGTGGATCCTCTGTCTTGTTGTCTCCACGATACCTAGAGGCTTGATCTTCAGCGCTGAGAAGTATGTTCACATGCAAACATAGGGTATCGCCAATATCTACGTACCAATGCAGAAGCATATCCCCTTTGGGATCCATGGCTGGGGTTTACAGCTCGTTTGGTGGTGGGGCTGCCTGCTACAGTAACACCGTGAGGTAAGTCCATTCCATCCCGAGATGATTCATCGCCGAATCACACAGCACGACACCATACGACATACCTTCAGGGGTCGTGAATATACGGGTAACGACGAACTGCTTTCTCGCTTCTTCTCACCTTCCTCTCTCGTGTCGACGTGCCGTTTAAAACAAGATTCATCTATCCCGGTCACAATGGCAATCTATCCAGCATCGTCTGCAGTGGTCACTGTACAGCGTCGTTCTTGCACACTAATGGCGTTCAGATTTCTCTCTCACGCCTCCCTCCATTACCACGGTGAGAAGACGTGATATCTTGAAGTCGAAGTTTCGGCGATATGTCAGCAGTTCAACCAGTTTACAGGGAACAACTGCCGTTGATGTTTGATGCCGCCGGCGTGCCGCCACTGTCAAGTGTCAGTCGTCCACATCCGTGAACAGGGGCGATATTGTAAGCAAGTCTCATGGCCTCACGGTGGCCTCGGCAGTGCTGAAGGTGAATCACCATTCCCAGCTAAGCTTCCAACATCCCGATAAATTCCAAAATCCCGTCAGTGAGACGAAAAACGGCGAAGTGATCATGCCAGGCCGTTTCCTGGGCACAGTACATGCACAGCAAAGTACAGCAAGCTGTCAGGAACCATCCACCCACACACGTCCAGACATCCAATATCAAGTCCCATTTCGGAAAAGAAAAAGAGACTCAGACGAGCCAGCTCAGCCTCACCGATACGAAGGGACCTGGTACTCCACGAGGCACGAGGTGGTAAGCCGCCATCCACTTTGCGATTCGATGACCACCAAGACCTCTGGATGCTCCACAACGCCCCAATATGCAAGGGCAAGAAGGTAGGTACTCATCTGCTTGTTCAACGTGTATAAAGTGGTTGGAGATCTCTCCATTCCTGGTATCTTTCGATTCGTTCTTCATCATTATATCAGGTCAACATCTCCAGACTCGGAGGTGAAGTCCAAACCTTCACATACCTTTCTTTTTGGATTTATATTCCCTCCTCCCCTTCACAATCCCTCATCTCACGTCAATTTAAGCCCTCGCTGAGTTCTTCATCACTTCCACTCACGGGAATCTTCATCGTCACCATGAAACACTTTGGCATTGCCGCCCTGGTTGCGGGCCTTCTTGCCCCTTCACTCATTCTCGGTGCTCCTGCACCTGGCAACGAGGGAGTGAATCTCCTCACTCCCGTTAATAAGAGACAGGACTTTCAAGCCGAAGGTTATGGAGGTGGCGGAGGCGGTGGTTGCAACTCCCCGACCAACCGGCAGTGTTGGTCTCCAGGATTCAACATCAACACCGACTATGAACTCGGAACTCCTAATACCGGCAAGACCAGACGGGTAAGTAAAGGCTCTATATTACCGGTGCAGAGAACGAAATGACTGACACACACCTAGTACAAGCTCACCCTTACCGAGACTGATAACTGGACTGGCCCTGATGGTGTCAAGAAGGACAAGGTCATGATGGTCAATGGCAAGATCATTGGACCTACCCTTCAGGCTGATTGGGGCGACTATCTTGAGATCACCGTCATCAACAAGCTGAAGTCGAACGGCACCTCGATCCACTGGCACGGCATGCACCAGCGCAACTCCAACATCCAGGACGGCGTCAACGGCGTGACCGAGTGTCCCATCCCACCCAACGGCGGCAGCAAAGTGTACCGCTGGCGGGCCACCCAGTACGGGACATCGTGGTACCACTCGCATTTCTCAGCGCAATACGGCAATGGCGTTGTTGGGCCCATCGTCATCAACGGACCGGCCTCGGCCAACTACGACGTCGACCTCGGTCCTTTCCCGCTCACGGACTACTATTACGACACAGCCGACCGCCTCGTGCTGCTCACACAGCGTGCCGGCCCTCCGCCGAGTAACAATGTGCTCTTCAACGGCTTCGCCAAGCATCCGACCACAGGCGCTGGCCAGTATGCTACCGTGTCGCTCACCAAGGGCAAGAAGCATCGGCTGCGGCTCATCAACACGTCGGTCGAAAACCACTTCCAACTGTCGCTGGTGAATCACTCCATGACCATCATCTCGGCGGATCTGGTTCCCGTGCAGCCCTACAAGGTCGACAGCCTGCTGCTCGGCGTCGGCCAGCGCTACGATGTCATCATCGACGCCAACCAGGCCGTTGGGAACTACTGGTTTAATGTGACGTTTGGTGGGAGCAAGCTGTGCGGTGATTCCGACAACAAGTACCCGGCCGCCATCTTCCGGTACCAGGGCGCGCCGAAGGCACTGCCGACCAACAAGGGCGTTGCGCCGCCCGACCACCAATGCCTGGACCTCAACGACCTGAAGCCCGTCCTGCAGCGCAGCCTGAACACCAACAGCATCGCACTCAACACTGGCAACACAATCCCCATCACGCTCGACGGGTTCGTCTGGCGGGTCAATGGAACGGCCATCAACATCAACTGGAACAAGCCGGTGCTGGAGTACGTCTTGACGGGCAACACCAACTACTCGCAGTCCGACAACATTGTGCAGGTCGACGGCGTCAACCAATGGAAGTACTGGCTCATCGAGAACGACCCGGATGGTGCCTTTAGCCTGCCGCATCCCATCCACCTGCACGGACACGACTTTCTCATCCTCGGTCGGTCGCCCGACGTGACCGCCATCAGCCAGACGCGCTACGTGTTTGACCCGGCCGTGGACATGGCTCGCTTGAACGGCAACAACCCGACGCGGCGCGACACGGCCATGCTCCCGGCCAAGGGCTGGCTGCTCATCGCGTTCCGCACCGACAATCCCGGCTCGTGGCTGATGCACTGCCACATTGCCTGGCACGTGTCGGGGGGTCTGTCGAACCAGTTCCTGGAGCGGGCGCAGGACCTCAGGAACAGTATCAGCCCTGCAGATAAGAAGGCCTTTAACGACAACTGTGAGGCGTGGAGGGCGTACTTCCCTGACAATGCGCCCTTCCCCAAGGACGACTCTGGCCTGAGGAGCGGTGTCAAGGCGAGAGAGGTGAAGATGAAGTGGTAGAGCCTTGTTTTTTCAGGTTGAATATATGGATTGATGTGGCCAAATATGGGTGTATATATGGTGGCTGGAGTTGGTCGTGGTACCTAATATGTAATCTCTTCTCCCTTTTTTTTACTTCCCATTCATCGACCTTTGGACTTGCAACACTTGGTGTTCTTGCCCGATGGTCTAAGCAAAGATTTTGAGAGTGAAGGGTCGGACGTACATAGAAGATAATATTAGTTGAGCCGACCAGGGGTGAACAATCTTCGTTGTACGTATACAATTCAGAAGTCTTTTTTTTTTTTCGTGTTTTCTTATGCTGATGCTTCTTTTCCTCGCGGATGGTCAGAGTTCCATTGCAGCGTCAAATCGGAGCCATAGAGTGAGTAGTGGTGGTGGCCCACGTCCGGGTCGCATGGATGGTTCGTACGCATGTCGAGATGGATGGCGTCGCCTCAAGTGGGCCGGCGACGAGTCGAGAAACTCTCTCCATGACGGCGCATAGCGGTCGTGATCCGTTTCATTCCGCTTGTTCGATCCGCGGTCGCGTCTCTGCTTCTTCGAGAGCCAATGGATGGGAAATTGCAGAGGGCGGTGGATGCCGTGGCATGTTGCTCGACGTGAAGAAGGAAGAGAAAGTCGACGTCGAGAAAAACGAGAATTGCCCAAGATCGATTGGCTGACTGAGGCGCTGGACGGTTTAGCAGCTGTTAGTGTCCGCTGTGGATATTGTGTGGAACCCTTAACCCCGGCCTAACCCATGTTCAAGCTCTGACTCTAGCCCTAACTCCCCTGTGGCTGGTCCTCTGATTGGTTACACGAGCGCCTACTGAGTCCCGCTAAACCTTGACAGTCCACCCATCGCTAGCTCCCGCGTCCAGGAACCTCGTCGTCGTCGCAATCAAAATAGCAACGACAAGGGAAGTGGAAAACAAAAAGAGAGGCTGGAAAGATCTCCCTCAATCCCACCCTTTTTTTGACTTTCACCTGTCCGACTCACCACCCATGGGGCGACCTATCATTTTGCCGATCAGCCTAGGCGCGCTTGTTTCGAGAGCCGGGGATCGTGGATGGTCCAATACGATGATGATGATGATGATGATGACCATGGTCGATCGGAACCGGATGCAAGATACAGACAGGCATGGGGAAAATGGATAGTCGCCATGTCTAGAACTTGGGCTTGTTGACATAGATAAGATGGACGGCCATCTTCAACCTCATCTTTTGTTGCTTGGTGGTCTTCCACACCACAACACTTCAAACCTCTCCCAAGTCACACCTTTTCCTTGTGTCTTTTTTCCTTTTTATTATTCGTGTTTCCTTTGGGTTTCCTTTTACATTTGTCGTTTCCTTTTGGGTTTTGGGAATTCATCTCGGCATTCTGGAAGAATCTCGGTCTGATACAATTTCCTTGCGACGACAAACTATCACCAAGCAATAACGCCAATAACGAGTCTCAGTGTTTCATCTTCTTTTTGTCAACAGTTGATCTGCTGGCGAGCATCTTCTAAGCATATCTGTCCCTTTTACGAGAAACGGTTCTTTTCTTTATCAATATTACCCCCAACAAGTCTACAATGTTGCCCAATGTCAATACAAAGTTCCCGCCTCCCCCGACGGCACCGATCCCGATCAAGCCTCATTTTCCACTTCGGACGGCACACAAGAAGCGACCATCACTAGAAATCATCACAGACTTCAACTCACATACAGCCAGCATGGGCTTTCAAGCCCCTCGACTGGGCGCTTTGGGCCTGACATTTTTGGTTATGAGGGCACTGCAGTTCGCTGCTCTGATCGCAGTGATCGGCTTGAGCGCAAACTTCATCGATGAGTTCTCTACAAAGTCACTGGGATCTCCTTCAGAGCTTCTTGGTACTCTAGTAGTGGTATGTTTCAGATTCCTTGCACTCTTTGAGAGCACAATATACTAACATATACCTGATAATAGGCCGTCATTGCTGTCATCTATGTCGTTATCTCCTACGTCCTCTACTACGATGCCATGCTCCCATATCTCCTTAGTGGAATTCTTGATGGCTTACTGCTGATCGCCTTCATCGTCGTCGCCTCACTACTCGGCAAGCCCCTTTCCCATCTCCAGTGCGCTCTCATGCCCCAGGATCCTGACGCCAACAACTTCTGGACATCTGTCCCATTCACAATCAAGTCCCAAGAAACGACGCATGACGATGGCCTATACTTCACCTTTGTGCACATGGACCAACCCACCTGCTTCGAGACCAAGGCCATCTGGGGTCTTTCCATCGCTCTATGCGTGCTTTTTGCCTTCAGCAGCATTGTCTGCGTTGGCCTCTGGCGTCGCGTCAGTCGCGAGACGGTTGTTGTCGGCAGCAGAAAGGACATTGAGGGTTAGGGGCGCGCGGGCGCTGGCTGGGGGGTTCGCGAGAAGAACTACTACTTGTACGGGTCGGAGTCAGAGTCGGACGTGTCCCTTTATGGCCACAAAACCACCACCACTGCTCCACCACAGTTCCCTCCTCCCCCGTTGGCGCCCATGCGTATCACCGGCGGCGCTCGCCGCAGCGATAATCAACAACAACACGACAGTAATCTTCAAGACATTCCGGTCCCCAACATCCGCGCAAGAGCCGGCCTGCCACAGAACCGTCGCAGTCTTTCCGGCTCCAGGTCCAGTATCGACTCCGACGCCTCCTCTACTCTCAGTCGGGGAGCGAGCCCCGAGCGCCAACTCCGCATCAGCGGTGGTCTAGCGCCCCCGCCGCCCGTACGCCACTGCTGCAATGGTGGTCGCGTCGGGCTAGGCATTATGCCCACGATTCCCGGCTCACCCATCGACGCCATACAAGAGCGGACCATCATTGACGGCATCTCGCCCATCATGTCCCGCGCCCCCCAGGCTCTGCCTCTCCCTGTTGCCGACCCAGCGTTCCGCAGTACCAGCACCAACAACCTCACCCTGGCTGTCCCCTCCGCTACTCACGGTACTTATAGTCACCACAACCACGGCCAAGTAGGAGCTGGAAGAGCCACCCTCCATCCACCACTCACCATCATCACTGAGTTTCCCATCGTCTCCCCGTCTGGTTACTGGCCCACCAATAACATCTCCCCACAAGAATATAAGCGCGCCGCGCCGCCGCGCTCCCCGCTGTCCCCACTCAGCCTGAGAGGGCTGGGCTCGTTCATGGCTCGTAGGGGTTGCAAGAGGAAGGAGGTCCCGCCGCCAATTATCGTGCATCCTAGTTCACCTTCGCAGTTTGCGCATGTCGTTAATAGCGCAGGAACGGATAGTGTGGCGTTGGGAACTCCCGTTGATGGCTTAGGCCCGAGCCAGTCGCCGCCGCCGCCACATCTGCAGATGCCAAACCCGCCCAAGAAGAGAAAGACGGTTTGGGGGATGATGGTGGAGGGATGGTGGGATTTGGGACTGCTGGAGAGGATGGGGAGTGGAAAGAGGAAGAATATGAAGTGAGAAGAAAGAAAACGGGGGGCGCAGGCCTAGTATGCATCGAATAGGATGGAAGAACTCGCTAATTAATATGATACCCCGGAAGGGAAAAATGGGAGGAGGGCTTGAAGGGAAGACTTGACTATAATTTGGATGACACAGGTACAAGATCCGTCCCTAGCGATAGAACTGGAAAAGACGGGACTGCACTGGACGTCTGTCGCATCGCCACACAGGGCCTGTTTGGCAGGGATGGAAATTACTAAAAAGTGGGAAGCAACAAACTTGTTCTGGTAATAAGTAGATAGACAGATAGTCTCATAACGGATGCAAGACCACGGACAAATAATGATAACGACGTTCCACTATATACTTTAAACTCCTTGGCTCTTAATTATCGGGATATGTAATCCAAGAATCTAGGCATCAGGTACTCTTCAACTCTTCGAATGGTTTCACCCACCCGAAGCACGTTGGTGTCCAGAAGGTAATAAATGCCGCGCGTTTCCTCTTTGGACTTTGAGAGTAAGACCGATGCTGGAGGTCTACTACCAACGCGGATACTCCCATCTGAACCAATTGTCACTTCAGTTACCTCACCCATTTCCTACCGCGACCAAAAAGCGGGATCAGATCGCAAGTGCTTACATGATCAAGAACTGTGATGAATATGATCGGGTTATCTATGTATGGTCGAGCAGGATGGCAGGTGAATACCCGAGGTTGAGTACGGGTTTAAATACAATGCAATCTTCTCAGACGTACCCATTAGCTGGGGCACATTGATGGTTAGCCATGCGAACTATAATAGTGTAAGAACATGACAAACTTCTTGAAATCATTTAATGTCAGACTTTCTCCCAAGTCATGCCAGTTCTTGATCGAGGGTGTTTATGTTTACTATGTATTCTAGTCGGCAGAGGGACACACCTGGCTGATCCGGATCCGGACGCCCGTCCCGGCCTCACTGACTTCACCCGAAAGAACGGCACTACCACAAACCGGAGGACTACCAAAACCTTATCGCTCGCTTCCGTGGCGCAACTCACTCGCTCACTCATTCGCTCACAACAACTACAAATCACGTATTTCAATGTTCCAGTATAGAATGCAGCAATCGTGGTTGAAATTAAACGAACTAGGACTAGTTCCAGCCAAGTTCCCCGCCGTCCTAAGTGTCTCGTACAACGCTTCTTTCGAACTCTCTCAATGTCTACTACCCCCCCTTTCTTTTGCCGTTCTCCCGTTCCCCTTCTTCATGGTTTTGGTGGTCTTACACGCCTCTTCTAGTTCCCCTTTGAGTGAGAATCTAGTCGAGTCCAATTCTGCTGGATGATTTTGTTGTCCTCCACCTTACACCTTTAGCCTTTTAGTTCTGGCTCTGCCTCTGCTTCTGGTTGTTCTGGGCCTGGTTCTGGTTCTGGTTCTGAGTGCCCCTGTTCTTTCCCTGCTTAGCAGCATTTCCGGCATTGGCTCCGCCGTTGTTCTTGCCATTGCCACCACGGTTACCACCATTACCAGCAGCACTCGTAGCCGTAGGAGCGGCAGCAGCACCACCACCCAGAACCACGGTAGGGGTCAGAACGGGGGCGGACTTGCTCACAAACCCGGCGGCAAGAATGGCGCTGACGGCGGCGGCGTTCTGCTGCGCCTCGCTTGAGCCGGCCTTGCGGTTGGCTTCCGCGGCAATCGGCAGGGTGGCCACGCTGATCAAGCGCTCGTCCTCAATGTCCTTGATGTTCTTGAAGGTCTGGATGTTGTCGGGCGTGTTGAGGGTCGGCTTGACGTCGGTTTGTTGGACAGCGAAGCAGCCACCGAAGGGACCGGCGACGGCGTTGTTGCGGCAACGGACAGTGCAGATGTTACCCGTGGAGGCTGTGTGGGAGGACAGATGTTAGTGTCGGATCATGGTGGAGGAAAAGAAGAAAAGAAGAAAAAGAGTGAGGGTAACATACCGCCAGTGCATTGGAAGTTATCCGGCATCGTCACGGTAAAGTTGAACTCCTGGATCTTGTTCTGCGAGATACCGTTGGCTCCGGGCACGTTGTTGGTGACAGTCAGATTCTGGCTGATCTTGCCCGAGTTGGAGGTCTCGTCCAAGTCGCAGACATAGGGGCCGGCGCCGTCGGCGTTGACCTGGTGGATTGTCACGGTGATCTTGCTGCCCGCCTTGACCTTGGTTACGGCGCCCTCAGCCAGCGCTGCCTCGGTGTTCTCGGCAATGTCGATGTTGCCTGTAAGCTGCGTACGGCCGCAGTTGTTGACCAGGTTTGCCTTGATCTCGGCATCGCGCATGATGACCGAGTCAAGCTGGCAGGGGTTGATGGTGGTGCAGTTGCGGGCGATTTCAGGGTTGACTTTGAAGAGGTTAGTTGGACTTGAACACACAACACTTGATGGATGGATGGCACATACCTCCGAATCCGACAGATGGTGGCGAACCAGACTCGCCCTGAGCGGCCAAAATCACACCATGTGCTTTGGCAAGAGCAACGAAAGCCGCCAGCGGGAAGGTAGTAGAGAAACGCATGATGAAAGATAGTCGTCGAAAAAAGAGTATCGTAAAGAGAAGGACTTTGGTAAACAAACACTGAGTGAACTAGATAAGATGGGGTGCAGCCTGCTGCGAAGAAAGAAAGAAGTGAAGAGAGAAACGATTGCTGGAACACACTGGATAGAGAGCTGTTGTGTGAAAGAACATCGACATTCATGAGGGGGAATCAACAGACTCTATATACTGCATCTGGGAACTCCAAGTGAGGAGTTCAGGGGGTGCCTAAGTGGAACTGTGTGCACATTCTGATCGCAGAACACACGGCCGATGTTTCTTGTTCATCCTGCGGCACGTCTTTCCGGTCAATCCTAGATCGACTCGGCTTCGTAAAAGCTTATTCACAGGCGAGGTAGATCCAAAACGGTTGAGGCTCAGGGGCACTGCAGGGATCTCGTTGATATGTATATAGGCAGGGTTGGTTTGCAGTTTTGCGGACGGTGAAAACGGGTATGTAAGCCTCGAGGGTGGCATGCAACTCCTTGGGGTTTCACTGACCGTTATCCTGCATGGGCCTTATTTGGGCCCGATATATGCCATTTTGCATCTTTTGATACCCGGGCTCGTTACGAGTCAGGTGACATTGTAGGTAAGGTAGGGGTAGCGACTTAACACGAGCGAACCCGCAACTCGCCCAGTCTCATGTCAGTGGGTCCGTGTGACAGTTAACGGCAACCGTTGCCATCCTCGCGTGTACTAAAACGAATGTGACTGGATAAAACGTGATTGTTTGAGATAGCCTTTCCCCGTTGTTTGGGAAGTTGGATGCCTGTCGGCTCGTTGCCGAGGAGGTGTACACTACACCTGTCACACTACACCTGTCAATGTAACTAGTTCCGTCATTATTCTTCGCATTAGGGGGGCTTTTTCCTCTCTTACATAACAAAACCGGGAATACGGGCGGCTGAAATCGTTTGCATCTAATGGGTCAGGTTCTCTGTGTTTGCAACAGGGGGGCTTGCATTAACAGGGGACATTATTGTAAGGTCCCATCGAGATGTCAATGCGAAATCTGGGCCGTCAGTGTTGCATAAAGCCGTTAGCGGTTAGCGGTCTTGGCCACCAGAGGGCAAAAGGGGGGGTTTAGCATTCACAGGTACAACACCCGTCCACATCGCCACCCAACGATAGGTAAACAAAGAGAAAACTTACCTCTACCTGCACCAATATGTTTTCCTCCACGCACCCATATGTTAGTTGCAAGCGAGCAAATGTTTCGACCACAGCGGGAATAATCCAGCAGAACCTGGGATAATGCTAAAACCAAGTTCGAATATCCGCTCGGTAGCTTTTACAGGTCATTATACCTTCAAAGCGCCGATGTCACCTCCAGGTTGCACTGATATCGTCGCTTTGACGTATAAAGCCGTTGGATATGGAACAGAATGTCATGAACCCTGTCAGTGCTACATTCTTGGTGTCGAAAAGGGGTGTTGCTGTTGGAACACTTCGGGCTAGTCGAGAATATGGGTGCGTGGAGGAAAGATATGCGTGCAGGTAGGTTTCCGTTGAACGAACGTGATGATCGCCAAATGATCATGGTATCCTTCGGAAAGGTCGAGAAGAAATCTCGGCCATTTCCTCGCATTGCCAGTGTTAAATGAGCAATTCGCATCTTTAAACTCCCAGCACCAGCCGTTGGGAGGTGAAGTCTGCCCAACGATGAGCGTTTACGTCTCCTTGTTGACCCTGGGTCCATGAATTGACACTTGCGACATCGTTCATATACGACTGATAGAAAAATCTCCAGAAGTGAAAAGGTCATTGACTGGACAACGCGCTCATTGTACGCTGTTTGATCGTGTGAATGACAGCACTAGAAGCAATGGGGCCATGATTTCGTTGACACGCAGCTATAAGATGTTCAGCTCAACACTTGATCGACGAGTTGAATGGAAAGCCACTTACATTTTATCCAGGTATAGGCTACGGCGGACTGACCGTAGAACGAATACTCACGTCTGCCGACGGTCACTGTCTCTCAACAAAACCGTCGAATTACTAACCTTCCGTCATTCCCTCAAGTCCGGCAATCACGATTATCACGTTACCAGTGCACCGCAACTGCATCACCGGTCGAGACCGTCAAACCGCAAAAGAAATGGGTTGCCTCTGCAGTATACTCGGCTTTATCTTCCTCCTCGACGGTGGCGGCGAGAGGGTGACCTGGCACATGTGGCAACCATCACCTGCGCATCTAGAAGAGGGACGCGAAGTATGGACTGCCCCAAGGGCAAATATTGGGGACGGTATCACCAAGAGCGGCGGAAGTGCCGGTGTTCAGCGTGCCCGGGACAAAGGACATAAGCAGGGTAGAGCAGAGATAATGAAGGTCCGGCGCACCCGGTCAATTACGTGTTAACAAGATGAGGCCATGACCGTGGAGTCAAGAGGTGGTGGAGATTGAAAAGCGGTTATGGGATAGTTAGAGAAGCAGTGGCAGAACGGGCTGAGACTGCTGATGCATCGATGCGTTGATGCGTCGATACACTCTAGCTGGGAGGTATGGCGGTGCGGGCACACGACTTGGTGGGTGTCTGGTACCGATAGGCCGGAACAATATGAGCAACTTCAGGGCCAGAGGTCAGAGACACGCGGTATAATATCAGTAGGGAGGAAAAGGGACCGAAAGGAAGCCACGAGGTTTTCGTCCGAACTTCCTCACCGCACCATGCTCATTTCCCAGGCGTTGGTTGGTTCGTCTGATCACTGCTTCCACATTTCGCGATTATGAACAATAGGAAACTACAATTTTCGCTGTCTTGTCAGACATATTGTTGGCCATTTGGTGTCGGGCGTCGACGTGACTCACGGAAATTTGATCCTCGATTTGTATTCCCTGATGAAAAGGACGTTTTCCTTGTTTGTCTGGTGTTGGCTTTTCCTTTAACTTATTCCTGGAAAGGTGGACGCAGGCAACGAAAAAGTCGCCATTCCTTGAAAGGGAATTGTCATCATCCACAACTGTCCGAGCCCACAACCTTGGATATCTTTCCGCATCTAATTAGAAGCTGAAGACGTCGCCAGCAAGGCACAAGGCATGGTAAGTATCGACCTAACCAGATCCTGCATCATTTCTCCACAAGCCATAATTCATTGTGAGGTCGTGCTGTTAACTTTCCCAGGCTAACTCCACCCTCGCCGATGACACCGGACCGGCAGGCATCCCGGCAGATGGCTTCTATCAGAAGTTCAAGATCCCCATGTTGATTCTCTTCAGCACCCTTGCCATTGCCATTCTGGGCTCGACCATCTGGCAATGCTGCTTTCGAGAGAAGAAGAACAATGAGCTCGAACACCAATCCCCCCTCCCCACTTTCATAGGACCCAGCAGCGTGAGAAGAGAGCACATCGACCTCCATTACCCGCGCTCCCCCCACTACCATCCGTACGGTGGCAGCCCTGGATTTAGCACCAGAAGCAAAGTGCGAGGCAGGGAGGGAAGGGAAAGGATCCAAACAACTTCGGGATGGCTGCGTCATGCTGGTCCTGACCGCCCTTTGTATCGGAACTGGCCAGAGACAGAAACTCGCGTGAGAATCAGGGTACCGCCGACAACGGGAACACCACTGGATGGAGCTTATTCCATGGCTTATATGCAAGAAGAAATGCGACAAGAGCAGCCGCAGCAGCATCGAGAAGGAAGGCAGCAGGAAGAGTACGAGATGGAGGCGCACCGATTGGAGACGAGGCAGCCGACACCACCCCCGCCGTATAAGGCTAGAAGGTCCACGGATGACACGGTTGATCGTCCACCAGGTTGCTTGTGTGCCCATGTGTCGAAACCTAGTGGGAGTGAAGGCTTGAGGCACCTGTGAGGGAAACGCTGGCTCATTGCGAACGTTTGGCGAGAATTGACCGAGTTCAGGCGTGGTGGTCGCGGTGGTTACAGTAGTACTCCCGTCCGGTACAGTAATACTCCCGTCGGTGATGGTAAAGGATGGAAGCAGATAGGTCCCAAGTGAGGAAGAAACCCAATAACTGAGTCGTGTCCGTGGTCCCAACATCGCGCTCGTGAGTCCAAGGTCTTTCCAATCCATTCACTGTTCTGTGGGTTTCACTCCCACCAATATTTGTGTCCAATCGCGGCTACCTAGATCAAATGCCCTCTTCTTCAGGACATCAAGTGCTTCTCTCCTTCTCCGCCAACCGTGTAACCTCTAGCCACTCCGCCTCTACCTTCTTCAATCGTCATGCTGGCCTCCTCGTCAAAATCGGTACCCAAACCGACCCATGTCCGCTGAGTACGAAGATACTCTGCACCAGGACTAACGACGCCATTGACGGATGCCAACTCCTGGGCTTTGGATCTAAGGGTCAAGGCGCTTGACCGTGGCGGCGCATCTGGTTTTTCAGACGAATCCTCCTTCTTTGCACTCTTGGGTTTCGACGCGGCCATGCGCATGGGCCTACTATGGCTGACAAGTTTTCCTGTCCTCCAGTCAAACTCGGGTGGTGCCGACTCCTCCTCGCTGTCCAATTCGCCATCACCAGAGGCTTGCTCGGTATCGGCTGTATCTTGCGTTTCGTCGTTCTCATTGTCCTCGGACTTCTTCTCCTCAGGCTTTTCGTCGATTGGTGGCTTGACAGCTTCGATGCCACCCCACCACTCGCCGGTCCAAACTCTTTCATCGTCACTGGCGAGGGCGAGCTCGAGCTCAAAGGGCGTGATGACGGGCTTGTAGAAGCCAGCATCATCCTCAATAAGAGAACTCTCCCAGCAGCCGACCACCACCCAGCCGTCAATTTCAGCAAAGTTGGCAAGCTTGGCTGGATTCAGTTTTCCAACCACCATTGTGTAACTTTTCTTCCCGGTAGCAGCGATTTGCTTGCGGATGCTATCGATAGAGGAAAGGTAGTTGGAAACGGAGAGGGTGTTGACAAGTATGCCGATAATGCCAGCCGTTGTCAGGGAGAGGAGGCGGGCGTAACGGCGACCAAGGAGGCGCTGAGCGGAGTACAGCGAGGAGCTGTCAGAAGAGGTCTGGAAGATGTAAAGGTTCTTAACTCTGGAGCACAGGGCGAGGAGGAGCGCGGTTGGCGGTTGGGAGATGTGGAAAATGGAGTAATCTCGGAGATCCAGACCCGTCGAGGTTTCGCTGCCATGGCTGATTTCCACCTCTTTGCCTTGGACGTCCACGACTTTTCTGTTTGGAATCCTGCCCATGGGGTTGTGAACAATCTCGGTGGCTAGCAAGTTGACATAACCACGGCCTTGGAGCTCGGACAATAATGACAAGACGTGGATTTGATATGTAACGTCGGCCATGAGGACCACCTTGGCCTCTTTATCTGGGTATTCCTTTTCGAATTCGGCGAGGGCAGCATCGCGGTCGAGGATGTGCTTGGTAAAGACATAGATTACGGGAAGACGGGAAGTAGGCGAGAGGCACGAGCGGCCGTAGTGGACAACGACATCAGCGTTAACGTGTTCGGCGGCAATCTCGTCGACGCAGCAGGCGCTGTACGAGGTATCGGCGAGGACGTATACCCGACGGGCCTTGGGCTGTGATTCCACCGGGGCGGGAGCTTGTTTACCACATCCACACCCTGTACCGTTTTGTTGGACATTGCGACCGCATTGTCCGTTGTTCGTGGTGGAGGGCTCGGGGCAGGCTGTCGCCGTTGACTGCAAGTCTGCGGTAGACGTCGGCACTGTCGGTTGTGGTAGAGAAGCAAGCTCTGCTTCTAGAAGTTGGACAACTCTGGGGGCATCGCAAAGCATATGGTCGGAAAACTGTAGGCCAATTTTCCTCCATCCTCCCTCTCTAACTTCCTTCGCTGTCCTTGTGATTTCGTAGATGTCGCGGAGTTCATCATCTGATCTCGCCTTGGTCTGGTCATCGGTCGGGACCACTGCGTATTCGAATAGGTGATCTTCCGGTGTGGACAGAACCGGTGCCGCGTTTAGTTCGCCAGCCATTGTATGTCGAGCGCAACTATACTGTTGTGAAAGAGGATGGCTGGTTGTTGACTTGTAACTTTTGTGTGTTGCCAGGGAAATGTTTCAATTTTGTTTTCGTCCCGCGTCACTGGCGACGAAGGCTTGCGACGGAATGTCGGGTGGGGTTGAAATTTTCTTGGTCGGCGGCGGGGTCTGCTGAGAAATTACCCCGCGATTTGGGCGTCGCGGGTACCTGAGCCCTACGCATTCGGTGGGGTTTAGCGGAACAGTGGGCTGAGACAACAACGTTTGGGGGGTGGGGTGAAGGGGAAGGGGGGTGAATCGCAAATCCAAAGTACCTTGAGGTAGTCTGGGCTCTCGTTTCCATTTCCCATCCTCTTCCTCTCATCTACTTTCTTTCTCGACACTTTCACTGATCGCACAAAGGAGAACTTTCTGCGCCATTGATCATTTCGCATTAACATTATCTAGCTATCCAATTGCCTTTTCTCTATATCCAATATCCAACACATGGCTAGAACTTGACCCGCGGGTTGAAGCCGACAGCGAGAACGCGGGCAGACGTATAACACGCCAGGGCGACGAAGTACGAAAGGCCCGAGAAAATGATGACGGCTCGCCAGCCCGTCTCAGCAGAGCCCATCTCCAAAAGGGCGCCGCCGATGGGTACACTGCTGAGCGTGCCGAAACTGGCCACCATCATGGCCGTCGAGTAGTACCGACCGAATTGGCGAGCGTCGCACAACTGTCCAAGGCATACGGGTACAAGGCCGAGGTTGCTTCCGCTGGCAAATCCAAAGAGCACAGCGTATCCGATCAGCACCGACTTGGACATGGCTGCTGGAAGCCACATGGCCAACACAAGAATCACACACAGCGAGATGGTGATGATGACCACGTTGAATCGTCCGATGCGATCAGCAAAGAGACCGGGGAGCACACGGCCCAACACAGACCCGGCGTTGAGGTACGATAGGAGAAGGTAGCTCTCAGTTGCATCCTGGCCATGCGCCGCTGCGTACGAGACAATGTACGTCAAGGGCATGAACAGCCCCCACTCCATGAAGAAGATGCCGATCGCCGAAAAGGCATAGCGAAGGTCTCGGAATCCGGAAAAGTCGGGCAAAAGTGACGAGATCTTGGGTTTGTCTTGGCTGATCTTGGGCTTCAGACGAGTCTTGATAAAGAGGTTGGCGGGCACGGCGAGGCCGAGCATAATGAAGCCAAGAATGCGGCAACTCCAGGGGAACCCAATCGAGGGGAGGGTATACCGCAACATGATGGGGAACACGATACCGCCAATGCCGCCGGAAATGGTAGCAACACCGGTTGCCAGTCCACGGCGCACATGGAAGAAGTGTGTGATGGACCCGTACGCAGGGCAGTTGAGAAGGGCACCGCCCAAGCCACCGAGCACAGAGTATGTCAGCATGATTTGATAATAAGCTGTGTCCGTCGTTAGCACCATATGTCATCCACAACTAGGGGCGGAAGTGTGGTAAGGGCTTACTCTTGCTGAGGCTCAACAACATCAAGCTGAGGACGACCAGCAGACTACCCACGGCGACCAGCAGGCGCGCTCCATGCCGATCGAAAATGGGGCCGACTTGGATGCCCACAAAAAAGACGATAAAGAGGTAGAGCGAAAAGATCCAACCGATCTCGGATGCGCTGTGGTTGACAAGCTGATGTGTCGAAAAATATGATTCAAAGACGGCCGCAGAGTTGATGAGTCCGAACACCGATATCATGGCACAAAAGGACCCAAACACTACCAGCCAGCCCTGCAGGCCACCTTCGGGAAAGTCGATTACGGTGGTCGCCGCAGACGGCTGCCGGGCAAGGCCGTTCTCGCACTTGACGCCCTCATCATCAGGGCTGTCGCTGAGGTCTTGGATGGTGTCGGATTCCGGTCCCGAGTCCCGCTCGTCTGAGTTGGCTTCACGCTTTGAGACGAACGATCCGCCCTTTTCCTGGTCGCTGGAATCGATAAAGGTCGGGAGTGTTGACAATGACTCGCCCGCGGGGGGCTGCTGATGGTTTTTTAGGCAGCTGTCCTCTGCATTAGGAGCTCGACCTAGGGTCATTTATCCGGGGTTTTTTTCCTTTTTGGCGACAGATTATCTCGAGTCTCGAAAGATAGCTTCCAAGGTCGGGAGTGTTAGTCAGGGCTGTCTCCTGCTCGTTCAGGGACGAGGTCAACAAAAAGATGATGCTCTTTTCCTAAATGAAAGAATGCACGTTCTTCAGCTTCAGTCACTGCGAACAAGAAGTGGCGGTATCTGGCCCTTAAGTGGAGGGCCGGGTGGAGGACAAAGCGGGCTCAACAGGGATTCCACGCAAGAAAAAAAAAACTTTCTTTGCAAATCGCCGGGGCGGGGTGGGCAGGTAGGCAGGGTGGCTGGACTCTGGAATGGCGGAGAGGCTTCTCGGTTTTCTCAAGACTTCTCTGGATTCTGGAAAACATCAAACATGAAACATCACTGGCACGGCTATGTGTCCGGTCCCACCAGTTGTTAGCGTGATGGCGGCTGTCGGAGGAGAACCAGTTTCTCTCACGTAACAAGCCGGCTTGGCAGACTCCCGGACCAACAAGGTCTCCGAGAGCGTCCGGTGTGGATGTCGGAAAAGTATGGGGCCGTGGGGGCTTGAGCCGTTGGCCAGCGCCGGCGGTGACCCTTTGATTTTCAGGCACCGCTCCCGGAGCACGGCGTCCACCGCTTACTTGTAGTGTATGAGCCGTCATTTGCTGGCTTTGTGACCTCAACCGATGTGTTAAAAAGTTTGCGGAGGCTTCGACTTTTGTATCAGAGAAGTGTGCAAGATCGTTTGCATTGGAAGAACGTAACGTCGATAGGTACCTACATATGCAAGTGCATGTGTACTTCCTGTCTCCATTCGTTGCGTTTTGGCTGGCATCCCCAAATTTTCCCGATTCGGTTGGCTGTACTGTACCCCTTTCACGTGCACCGGTGGAAGGCAATGTATTGTCTACACTGTCGTGACTGTCCTCAGAATTTGCGGTTTCGCTCTGTACTTGTTGACTGTGTACAAACAAGCTCATAATCACCGCGTCTCAGCGTTGTCCTGCCTCAATAATTCGTTCTGGACACCACAGCCAGAGCGTACCTTTGTAGGCATCTGCGGTCATCACTACAGCACCTAAGCTTTTCATTGGCCAGCAACGGCTTACGGCCCTACACAGTCAAGCTAGGACAACTTGAAATCACTGTAGCATTGTACAGTACCTGCCGGGTAGGTAGTGTGCGCTCTTGGTTGTCAGTCATCACCAATCCAAAGAATTTCACTACCTAACCCGTCAACGCTCAGTGGCAATTGACATAAAGTTTGGTTGCGTACCTAGGGTAGGTTTGTCGGTGCCCTTCCCTTTGTTTTTCTTTGTTCTCACCCTTCAACGTTTCGTCAAGCTATGACAGTTGAAAAGAAAGCAGCGCTATCATCAACTAGGAAATTTCCATTATGGACATACGGCACTAGAAAAACCTGTTGCTTGTTCTATTTGTGCGGCTGTACCCTTGCTCCTGTGTAGGCAGCAGAGTTGATCATCGTCTTACTGTGTAAATGCCACCCTGCGCTACCACCAACCTGCATCATTTGGCGATCTTTGATGTTTGTATTTGTTTGAGATGCGGTAGCCAAGCTTACAGAGCCACACGGTAGAAACTGGGCGATCTGTCATCTCATGTTCCAAATTGAAAGATGGGTTACCACCGCACATCTTCCCGGCTGGGCACGCTGCCTCTCGCGTTTGACCTGCTGGCGCGAGTAGGACAGATACTCATGTTGCAATTTCGACGACTTCGGCGCTCGGGGCGCAATGGACGCCGCATGAAGCTCCTTCTCAAAATCGCATTACCGCTCCTTGTCCTATACCTTATCGATCTGCCAATTCATCTCTACCGCACACGCGTTGCGCGCCCTCATCAGGATCTCGACCAGCCGTTCGCGACAGGATGTCTGGACCCGTCGGTTACCGCCGCGCAGCCGCGCGAGAACGCCACTTTTGTCATGTTGGCGCGAAATAGCGAGATCGAAGGTGCAAAAGCAACGGTGGCGAATATTGAACGGCAGTTCAACCGGTGGTTTCACTACCCGATCATGTTCCTGAATGACGCTCCGTGGTCAGACGAATTCAAGGATGTTCTAAGCAGGGCTGTGAGCAATGGGACTGAGGTCAGGTTCGAGGTCATCGAGAAGGGAAAGTGGGGGTTTCCTGAGGGGATGAATGAGAAGGAAAAGACAAAGGCCAGATCGCAGATGAAGGAGCAGGGTGAGCGAGGTGTGGGCTATGGTGACATGGAGAGTTATCATCACATGTGTCGATTTTACTCTGGGTACGTCTCCCGATGTATTTCGTGTGATAGGTCCACATGCTAACCCGGATGTTTTCGCAAACAGCGAGTTCTACAATCTCGAAGCCCTGAGGCCGTACAAGTGGTACTGGCGCCTCGAGCCAAGTGTGCGCTACAGCTGTGCCCTCACATACGACCCTTTTGTGGAGATGGCTCGCCACAACAAGGTTTACGGCTGGACGATAGCGCTCTGGGAGGTTGGTGACACCTGCCCGTCCCTATTCAAGACCACCGACGACTACCGAATCGAAAAGGGTATTCCCCGGACGCCCACCTGGAACGCCTTGTTACAAGTGATGTGGTTCCCCGCGCCCGTCCGTTGGTTTCTCGGGTTGTTTCGGGTACGGGAGCACGACAACTCCGGCAACAAGTGGAACATGTGCCACTACTGGAGCAACTTTGAGATCGCCAATCTGGACTTCTTCCGCGGCCGCGAGTACCAGGATTACTTCCGCTACCTGGACAGCAAAGGTGGCTTCTACTCGGAGCGCTGGGGCGATGCGCCGGTGCACACGCTCGCCGTGCACATGCTTCTCCCGCCCGAGAAGATTCATCACTTTTCGGATATTGGCTACGAGCATGACACGCTGTGGCAGTGTCCGGGAAATGCACCCATGGACCAGCAACTTCTCGGTAACAAGGCGCTGCGTGACATGGGCAGGATGACACTGCCGTCGGAGGGAGGGACGGGCTGCAGGTGCAAGTGCCAGGAGAATAAGAGGAGGAGGAATATCAATAGTCAGTGCACGAGCGAGCTGACGAGGCCAGTGGCGTTTCATAGGCCGAGCTGGTGGGAGAGGCATAATGGAGTTTATCACTATGCTGTAAATAACCCGAATAATCCGAGGAAGTGAGTGAGGTTTTGGGAGATGGAGACAACGGGTTAGAATTCCACGCTAGTCGCTCTCAGTTTTCTACAAACTTCATGTTTCCATTACAACACAGGAAGCGCTTTTACCCTTTCTGAAGCCTCACTCGATAGACAGCCCACGATTCATAATCGGCAAAGTCATCACAAAAGATATCATGGCGTTGATGTTGGCATTCCGGGACATGCGCCTCATACTCCACTATAAAGAGC